CTTCTAGGGAAAATCTTATCGATGTCTTAATTAGTGAGTTATTTAAGTTTTCAAAGTGCGGAAGGAGAGCTTAGCTTTCAATTAAGTTGTAGTCGACTTTAACTTGAGAAAAATTTAATTGAAGCCGTAATTACTGAGATATTTAATCTTAAAATTTTAAACATTGCAAGTGCATTAATACAAACTTGGATTTAAAGTTTCATTAAAAGAAAATTGTTTGGCGCTTGATTTTACAACGGTACGTATATCATTTTAATTTAAACGTATTGACAGATCCGATTTGTGATAAAACTGGAAATTTTTTTCTAATAACAATGCCATTGTTTTATTCTAATACGTTTATACCGTGCATGTATTGACTTTTGTATGTGAAAATAGACTCAGGTTTGATAAAAATATTTGTTCGACGTCGTTCGAAAAATAGATTTTCTTACTGCATTTCTGTATTTCTAAAAATCCATTTTTTTTTTAAATTCCATTTCACCGTTTTAATCAACAATGTTCGAATTTTGTATAATTCTTGATAAACGTATCTAATTTGTTGAACACGCAGATTATTTTAGTTATGAAATTGTTGAAGCTTCGCTTCTAACACCTTATCTGAAAAAGGAACAGAATCCTTTAAACGGTTTTTAGTTATCGAAAATGGAGAACCATTTATGTAGAAGGCACTTCTACGTAAAGCCGCATCTTGCTGCTGCTCGTACTACTTGCGGCATTTCTGTTCGCCGAGTAGCTCGTAACGGGGCTTAGACTGATTTCAAGGTATCTCTCATCGTTCCGTCGACTTACCTAGTTACATCGGTCCGCGCGATTCCACCGTTGTGCAGGATTGAGAGGACCTTTCGCGCATTACAGAGGTCTTATTAGCGCGTCGCGACGTAGAGAGTCACAGAATTTAGGACGCCTCTAGCCTTGCCAAGGTCCGCCCGATATATATCTCACTGATGGGACTTCGGGGAACAATTATTGCCACCCTGGACCCTCCCGCTCTCATTCCGTCCGCCTCCACGATGAACTTATTGAAGGCTTTACCGCCATCGAGCTCTCAATTCGGCGGGATGAACATCGTGATTCACAATCGCTGAAGCGACGAAACGATACTTGCAACTAGCGTTCGCAAGACGCGAATCGCTTACAACTTTGGTCATTTTGATAATTGAAGAATTTTCTTCAATTCGATTAAGATCGAAACTAGGGATTATATGTATAATTGCACAGAAAATTATTTATTCGATATAGTGCAGTTTCTTGCCATATAAATATATTTATTCGAAAATGGTGGAAGCGGAATTAAGACTGTCTTATAATACGAACATTAATAAATGATTTATATTTTCTTTTACGTACTTCACGCTAACACTTTATCGTGAACACGAGTGATGTAGTTACGCGGCACTAACAATTCCGGGATAATAAATTAATATTCGCTCAAGAGAGTGAAGTGGTAAAAGCCTCACACGTCGCTGGTTCTCATAATTATTGCTGCTGGCCGTAGCTAACATTCTCTATCCTGTATCTCGGTAAACGTGGCAGCACAGCGTTATTACGACGACCTGCGTTAAGCTAACGGTAACTATGGTATGCACTAACGAGCTTTGGTGTTTCTAATGCTGTCTAACATGCTGCTGGATATTAGGACAACTGATATCTCTTCGTACGGTCTGATAAAAGTTGACCAGTTTTCATGGATCTTGAATATATCTTGAGTAAATTCGGCCGAACAGTACTAATAACTGCCGGCACAATAATTAGATGATCACGCGATAACTAATTATTGCAGAAACTCGTGTGCGCTCACAGCGTCCTACGGCGCATCTCACCGGAGTATTTCCTTTGTTGCATTATTCTCGCTCGCGGAGTTCTAATATATCCACGCAGATTAAAGCTTCGGTGTACCGACTCAAAGTAAATTTAACCCGCATTTACGGCAAGCCGTACCGCGAAATTGGTGTTAAATTACTGTAATTAATTGCCGCGAGTAAGCTACACTTCGTACGCGTACGTCATTACTATGTGTTCTTGTTCTCAGCACATTCCATTATTTGTCTAACGAATTTCATTATTTGTCGACTTATAAATTAATGATCTAAGTAAGAAACAACGAGATGCGTCGAATAGATTCAATTTATTATATTAGCATACAGCATATTAGCAATACGGTATTAGAATACAGTATGAGCAATGGAAATTTCTCTGTAACACATTTCGCATACAAATAAATTGATATAAATTTTCAACAGTTGAAATAGTTTTTAAATAAATCAATACAAGTAATTAAAAGGTTTATATAAATATACGATACCCATTTTTAACCCTTTTATTTTCAAATTATTTAACAGCTATAAAAGAAATATTTGTATTTTTGTGAACGTTCTATAATAAGTAAATTATAAAAAATTTTGACATTCTGAAAACGTTTAAAGATTTTTTTTTATTTGTTACTATTTAGCAATAAATTTTATTTTTATTGCAACCATATACAATAATTTGAGTTGTAAAGTTATTATACATAAGAAAAACTTCTTTTTTCTTACTTTCGATTAGTACATCTATTTAAAATAATTCAAGAAAATTATAAATTTTGAACATTGCATTTATAAAATAACTCTTATTATGGAATTTAAACGGCGAAAAATGAAAGTTAATAATACTGTAATATTTTGTTGCGAGAAATTTAAGCACATATCAAAATATTCACAAATGTGGAAATATAGATGGCAATAATATTTTATTTTATAATTTTAAATACGTAGCTATGTGTAGCTACAGTGTGTGAGAATAAAAGGATTAATTGCTATTAAAAAAATTCAAGAGAATTTGTCGGCAGGAATAATGCAGCAAAGGAAATTCGAATAAGATAAGCTGTAGAATCTAAAATTGAAAAAACGATATATATTTTCATAAATCAATATTACATATATATTATCAATCAATATAACAAACTGGAAGTGAAAAACTGTCAAAATGTTAGGTGATTATATTGTGTTTCTTATGACACAAATAACATAAATCGATATCGATACTTTGTTAAAAAATTTATTATTTATTAATTTCGGAATTATTTTCTGGCTGAATGACGGCATTCATGACACGGTACTTTGTTTAATGTTTACGATTGTAGAGAAAAATATATATTTTTACGCAATACTTCGTGCATAATGTTACACTGGCTGTGGTGATGGTAGCTCACAGCCACGTCTCTCCCTCGTCTACCATATTTTCTCCGTTCCATTATACGTGGACGCGGGTCATAATGTATTCGCTCGGTTTAAAGCGTCACGGGTGTTCTGCGCGCACGGGCGCACCGCACCAAGCGCCAAGACTAGGGTATAGCCCGTTGCAGCATACACTGCCGCAAAATTGGTGTTAAATTACAATTATTAATTGCAGTAAACAAGCTACATTGCCGCCCGCTAGTTCACTCGCTTATGTAGTCGCGTCATTTGCCTTTAATCCGGTTTTGCCGGCTATACACGCTTCGGAATTACCATGTGGAATTTTCGGGCAACGATGGAAATTATTTTAAAGCTGACTAGTAAGATTTCACGAGAGATTCGCCGTGTTTCTCTCGGCACAGAGTGTTTCGGTATGTGAACATCAGCTACTTAATTTATCGGCTGACGTTCCTAAGGCAGCGCTAATCAACTTGGACTAAGGAATTCTGTGATTTTAGAAATCCTGGAAAGAAAAAAATAGGAGACAAGAAATTGAAATTATCGAGGTTTCTTTATTAGTAAATCTGTTAGATGGATATAATTAACGTGCATTTTATATTCATCGATAAGGTATACAAAATTATTATTTTGAACTTTAATTCTACAAGTCTGTTTTAAAAGATATTAAAAAAAAACACTTTATTTTTGTTTAAGCTTGCAGGAATTATTGAAACGCGCATTCAGATTTAAATTGAAATGAAATTTGTAAACATGATCGCGCTAATTGACTGATTGAATAATACTGCGCTGCGTATTTTCGATTGACTTTCGTTATTGCTTGATCCACGATTGTCTCTTCATAATTTCTCAAGCGACCGACACCGTTGTTTCTCGAAATATTTTGTATCTCGCCACATTTTACCTCGATATGTTATTTCGCGATTGCTCGAGCCAGCGAAACTATTTCATGTCGCGGGTTCACGAGCATGTTTCTAACGGAGCGCGAGGTTTATTGCAAAGCATGGCGACGCGCGCGCGCGCTATGAAAAATGGGCAGCGTCGAGTAAGCACGATAACGATTGCATATCGCGATCGGTAGCATTTCATACCGATTTGATACAGTGCGCGCGCATGCGGGCGCGTGCAAATGCAACGTTATTATTAGCCGCCGCGCGCTCACACATCATGAAGCGGATTTATTTGCGAGCGAGCGTGACGTGAGCGTTTACGTTTCGATCTGATCGACGCTTATTTGCTCTGCTGCATGCCATGTTCTGAAGCGACCGCGCAAAATCGCGCGGACTTAGACCGACGTGAATGCAATATGCGTAGAATGCGCGAAATAGGCTGCAGAAATTCTCGAGGCGAGAATACGCCAAATTGTTGGCTCCGGAATTATTTTACATTTTCTACGTTTGCGCAATATATTCATAAATGGATGTAACTTGTAATGGCACTTGATGTTGAATCCAAGTTGCTTGTTATATTTTTTTCATAATTTTACGGAGAGCAAAATTGTTTATTTACATGTAGCATTATAAATAATTATGCACGCGAAAAATATAGTTATATGCTGCGATTTTATTTTTACTTAACTTTTTTTTATACATGAAACATGCACCGCTACTCCGTTTCAAATTTTACCAATCGCAAATTCTCACCGGAAACCAATACTGACGCAGAAATGATTTTATCGCTACGCCCGTCGTCGACGTATTCTAGAATTCTTTCCTTATATCGGCAATCTTGTGCGAAACGGCGTTCCTCTATGTATATTTGATGTGTCGCTGATGGAGTCCATTACACAGCAAGGAGACTTCGAACTCTCTTTTTCCGTTCTAGTTCCGAGATCGGTGTTACGGGAGCGATACGAGGGCGAGGTCGAGTCGGACGAGACGGGGTTGATACACGAGTTTGAGGAAGGCTTCGACAGGGCGGACTTCAGGGCGGAATTCAGCCCCAGCCCGAACCTCGAAGGACCGCAGCCGCAACCACGGGACAACGTCTCCAGAAATTTTCCGACCGTTAGCTCGTCCCCGCCTCGCGCGCGAACCAACAACGACGGTGAGTGCCGCCTAGCGGTTTCCTCCTTTATCATACTTAAGAAAAAGTGTATGCATCTCTCGTATGCTTTCAACCGAATGCAACATGCATATCTAACATCTTATTGTACACGAGGGCGGGATAGCAATAAGTAATAATAAATCATGCATTTTAAGCATAATGCCTGAAATTTGTCATGTTTATAATAGAACGTTTTAAATTTTTTTTTTTCTCCCTATGCAACTTTACTTTTTACAGTCGTAGAGAAAGGTTCTTTTATATATCCCTTTCTTATTCAAAACAGAGGCAATATTTATGATACAGAGATTCGGAGGAATATACCTTCCGTTTCCATTTTATTTTTGAGAATGCAACGAAGTTATTACTGCGCATGATTCCGCTGCATTCTTTTAACAAGCAAACGCACAAAAACCTATTTTTTTATCCTCTCTGCTACGTACTTTGTGCGAGGCAAACTTGTGAATGGCATGCGAAATGTTTGCATGTAAACAGCACGGTTGTATTTTTTCATGCTTGCTTCTCGTGATCGACCCGCATTGGTACACCGACCAGCGTGTGTACAATACGTCAGATGTTGTCAGACCAAAGTTCCACTCAGGTAATACGCATGAGTGCTAATGGCGGCTGGATGCTTTGTGTGCTAGGATTATAAAAATTTATTTCGGCAAGTTCTCTGCACCCCGAGAAGTGTATCCGAGAAGTTGATTAATTCTGCTCATTTATAAATAACCGCATAATTGTATAATTACGTGCGGTGACAAGGTAAATTATGATTTCCATGACTAATTAATCCCAGTGCGAACGCCGTGACATCAACACTAGGTGCGTTTATACCGTGTATTTCGCTACGTCTACAATAATGTTATCACGATGCATAACGCATTTCTTTTTTTTCGCGATAAAATTTATATTTCCATAGATCTGTACGAAAGAAAGGAACAATGAAAGAGCAACGCAAATAGCAAATTTTCACGACGCGTTATTTCGGGACAATAGTGAACAATAATATATTTAATATGCAATAAATTACATTTAAATGGCATTTTGACAATTAAAATTATGAATGAAAATTGCGCGCCGGGTTTTCTTGTTTTTCCCACTACATTAATTTTTTATCGCTGCTCTGACGACCAGCTTATAAAGAGTCATATTAAAATCTATTTTCACGCTTCCATTCTTCTAACAGCAATCAAGGGATATTTTAACGCATTGAAACGTTTTTTTTCCCCCGACTTCTCTTCTTACACTGCTATCGTATTGTGTGTCGCGTAAAACGTGCGAACCAAAATACTCGCTTTAGAGGCGTATTTATTGTCGGAAATATCCGGATGTACGCAACTTTATATCTTGTAGTAACGTCCGCAACGAAATTACTTAGCAGCGCAATGAAAAGCAAGCGCGGAGAAAGAAGCTCATCCAGTCGCTTTATATTCACTTCGCCTACGAACGGCTTTTTTTTATTCTGCTTTTTATTTTTTGCATAAGTTTGCTAACGTTATATCGGACCGGTATTATTAGCATCGTACTCGAGAAGTACATTTTGTGATTCTTTACTGTCTTTACTCTCATTAACGCTTTTAATTGCGCGAATCTTCTCTGTTCGATATTTAAGCAGCGACGTTTCCGTGATATAGCTCAACGCTCAATCCGCCGTGCATCAGTGACGCGACTCTGTATTTAGGCCAGTGCACTTGAATGATTTGTCTCGATATTTATAGTCAGCCGCACACATCTGCAGACGTGTTTAAATATTTTAAATATCTCACGACAGTCTGTTGCCTCGTTCTTTCTAACTTTGTGAAAAATTATCAGAGAAAAATTTAAAAAGCTATCGCAATATTTTTTGTGAGACGCTTACTGATTCCCGATTATCTATTTATTTACATTTATAATAAATTATCGGCATGTACAAAATTTGAAATTACGCGGCGTTTTATTATGTAATTAAATTCTCACACAGAGCGTATTTTTTTTATTGAAAATTTGTTGATGTAGCATGGACACGCCAAATAGCAGCGTTGAAAAATCAATGCAGCTGTGTAGTTTCAGCTTTAAAAGGATGTTGCGGTACTAAATTGCGATCAGTAAGTGTTTTATGAAAAACATGCGGAAGAGCCGTTTTCAGGCTTCTCTTTGCTATTATCTACTAGTACAGAACTTTGTCGCTAAGACGAACTAACTAATGGAATAAACCGACCGATGAAACGGTCGGAAGGGCGAAACCAACTCATTAAAGCACGAGCGGAATTAGGTAGGTCGATCGGTTCAGAAGTTTGGCTTCAAAGATCGCTTGACCGGGCACAGTCCTGTAATTGGATATGCATTCACTCGAACACTTCTTGCCAACGCCTTTACTTCGTGGTCCGTTGAGTCATTTGCTGTTGCCGTCGGTTATTCACTTCAGTAGCTCTTACAAAGTGAAAAGCAACATACAAAAGTATGCATTAGAATAGAATAAAGGAAAAGATGTAAAGGTATAGATAGGGTAAAGGAATACATAAAATGTCCATTACGCTTCTGAATGGAACATGCAAAATTCGACGTTTGATTTTGTATTCGATAATGTAAACATAAATGATATACATCATACATCAAGGTTTTTATATTTTTCCAAATCAAAATATCACGTCGGTATCTCGAATTTATTCTATATGATATTCTTATCTGCTTATTTATAGTTGAGCAGAAATAGGAACTCAGAGGAACACATTTGAAGATAAAAATATGATAAAGTTAAATTGGTTCAAACGCAGATTAAATGCAACATATCGATAATCCATTATATTCAATTCGCTTGCAATATCGATATGTGATACAACAATATAATACATCTTGGCTTATATGCATAGTATTATATACATAGTATTTGTTATCTCATTGCGGCGAATATGTGGGCAGATGAGAAATTCAATCTCGGAGCAATAACGTGTTGGATATTTATATTGCCGGACCACAATTCGAGATGCTGAAATATTAATTAACGGCAAAAAACGGTACTGTAAATGAGAAAATATAAATATAAATATAAAATATAAATAAAATAACTTTCATAGATTACATTTTAACTTATACATTCAATTTATGAAGGAGAAAATAGTCGTGTTGCTAAAAATATTTTTCTTTAGTTGATCGAAAAGTTTTTACAGTCTTTTTAGATTAATATTCATAACTTAATTTTACAATTAGTAGTAAATAATATTATAAATATTTGTCTCTATCAAATTGTTACTAACCTGTATATTCAATTTTAAAAGAGCTCGTAGTACATTATTTAAGTTTTATCAAAATAAATTATATTATAGAGAAATATAGGGAGGAAAATAATTAATGTAATGTGATATTATTTTGTATTCATCAAACATTCATTAATTTTTAAATATGACGTTGTCAAAGCAACATTATTTTAATATTTAGAAAATTAAAATTTGTTCATTATTTACAAATTATTTTTATAATTTTTATTAATATTGTTGGATGATTGTTGCAAAATTGCAGAATTAAAACGGTTATAAATGTATATTACCTGACCGCAGATGCGAAGCGCGCGGTCTTCTCGCACGAAACGAAAAAAAGAAAAAACTCACCGTGCTCCCCTCGAATTTTCGAAGGATTATTCCGGGTTCCGGTTACGCCGCACGGTCGATGGCTGTAATGAGTTCGTCGACGAGGCGTATATAACGCAATGCGCTAAGAGACCCTCATCTCTGTCATTGTCTCCGTGTGGAGACGCCAGCGCGTAATGACTGCGCCGTGTGCGCCGTTTTGACGCCAGCTTATCGAAATTGCATTATCGCCGAGCGAAATGAAGCCGTGCACATGAACCGATCGATTAGAGAAAAAAATAGCATTTTCATTGATGCATAATGTTAATTTTAACGTCACTCTCGATATTTTAGACTTCATTATACTTTGTTCCAGTTGTTTTTATACTTAAAATTTTAAATATATTCATATACATTAAAATAAAATTTGTTAAGAAAACGTCTTCAAATGTGTCCGATGTCTCATTTTCGTAAATTTCCGTCAGTTTAATTTGGAATTTGGAATTACTGGAGCGTGCAAAGCCATCTATGATTACAAATTGTGCGAATCAACTGTCGACTTGCGGTTGTGACAAGTTTCTCATCAGTGTTAATCAGTACAAATTCGAATGAAAGAAAATAATTTTGATAAAGTTAATCTAGTGTCGCGAGGATGGCTTAAGGCTGTCTGTCGTAGATTACCTACAAGAGAACGAAATTTACTCGAAATATATTACAAGGACTCCTCACTAACCTCATCGTCCTCGATCAAGACACACGCGTCCTTCTCCCTCATTCTCGAGGGAACCCTGGTCACGTGTAAACGCAATCAGACGACGGGGAGATA